AGCCATGAAATATTTTTGGTTCAAATTACTTTTAAATATCTTACCATATTTTATTTTTTTTTAAGTAGGTAGAACCAAGAACAAGACTTATTTTTGTTCATAACAGTACCAAAAACTTGTAAGGATGTCATAAATATTATTGGTTAAGTGTAATAAAGTTTTCTATGTAATCTTTTTTCACAGACAAAACAGTAATAACCTTATCTGACTGTTCACCTGATCAATACAGACAGCTTAACGGTGGATGTGACGGTCAGCAGGAGATGCTAATTAGCTCTCTCTAGCCATCTGGTCCTACCTCTGCTGTTTCCAGGATTCTGTGATTTTTTTTTTCTATCCTTATTGTTGTCTTCGAAATGAAAAAAAGGTGAAAATAACAATGACTGATCGATCTTATAAAATCTACAAACAAGCTAGCAAAATGCATGTGTTGGGCATAAACACTTAACCCTGAAAATTCCAGTGGTGGAATAAGGTGTCATAAGAAGAGTTAACACCCCTGTTGTCCGGACAAATCCGCCGTGAGCCTTATGTATTAATTTGGTAGACGGAACATATCGTAGTAAAATTTTTCGTATATAAAACAAGACCCTATAATAGATATGAAACAACTCATCCAAAATACTATCCAGTGTTGCAGGTTATATTTGCAAATAAGGTGTTTATAAGCCCATAGAATGTACGGAATATACTGCCTTTTAACGAGGTTGAAATCCCTGAAACATTATGTTTGAGTGACTATTGACAATCACGTTGATGAAACAAGGATGTGGAAAAACCTCGCTCTGTATCAACATTTTGCAAATTCTTTGTTCAAAACATTGACCTTATCAGTAAACACACTTTATCTTAAAGTTGAATGCTTGTCGATGTTTTACATACAAATTGTTAGACCATTATTAAGACACTGAATTGTCTGCAGATTTTTTCCGTTTTCTCGCAGATCGGTCACGTCGACGAACACACGGCGGGTTTGGCCAGTCGACAGGAGATACTTCATGGCCTGAATGGCAACTCAACTCTGATGTTTTAAGAGGTCTGTATTTGCTCTGCTTCCACATGTTCCATTTACCCCGTTTTAACGGATTTTTGATATCTTGTTAAAAACTTCATTTAGTGTCTGCTATCTCCATATTTCATTGTAAAAAAATTAGTTGTATTTAATTTTTACAAGCTTCAAGCCCGATCCTTTTGTCTAACCTTTGTCTCCACATTTTCTCAGTTCGAATTATTGCTATTTTCTTGGGAACACTAAGACTGTTGAAACCTTGTTGTTGTCTTCAAATCAGCTACTATTTGTATTCTTGAATTCTTGACAAGTTAATATTTTCTATTGCTTTTTATTCTTCGACACATTGTTAGAACTTAGCTTTTTTCTTGTGATCAGTTGATCCTTGGTCACTCTGTATACAGTTTTGTTTTGTTTTGCTGTTATGTGATTCAATTTGCTCACTGAAATTTGAACCAGAAAAATATCCTGATGAAAAACAAACCATATTCAACGCCAAAAGAGTCCATAATTGTATACTCTGTCCCACCAAGTTACTGTAAGCACTTTTCGCATAATATCTCAAAATGTATAAATACCTTGGCCTTCAACCCAGTTCCGATATATATTATATATTATTGTAATAACGTTTATATATATTATATATTATATATTATTGTAATAACGTTTTTACCTGCAACCGTATTGACTTGGAAAACGATATGAAAAACGATAGATATCTGGTGGATATACCTCGGTCCATAACGTACCTGTACTTGATATGTCTGGCTGATATATAAATATATATTATTATAACAGTAACTTGATCCGAAGCTTAAGGGTCGTATCACGTCGAGTTGACAGGCGCGGATCATCAGATCTAACGAGACGCGAAGCGTCGAATTTGATCTGATGATCCGCGCCTGTCAACGAGGGGGGCGACTGTGGGAATGCTCCAATATGAAAACCAGGGGGTGGTGGAGTCGGAGACGGAACCGGTCTCTGTGTATGTATTGACCTTGACGCACTAACAGATTGTTGTGTATTTTGTGATTGGTTACTACTCTCATTATTCTGGTATTTAATATGATCTGCTTCGGAACCATCATCCATCGAGTTGCTTGAAGTATTTATATCAGCCCGTACTTGTCGAACAAATTGTTTTTGTTGTACATTGTTATTATCATTTCTACTGATCATGGGGGCCGCCATATTGTCCGTGCTCATACCTTTACTGACCTGGTTAGATGAACTTCGGAAACGACGCTTCTTTATGGGTTGTTTCGCTTCTAAAACTTCACATATAGTTTGACCATCGGAAATCATACCTTGTGACCAAATATTGTCGGATAAAGTCAGAAATTTCCACTCTTTCTGCCAATTTTTCGTACGGAAATCGTCTCTCTAACAAAAAGCATGTCCTCTCACCACGCGATCACGTGACCTAGGGGAATAACGTAAAACATGATCATGACATTGTCATACATGTATTATTAATTTTGTATTGATTAAGACTCACAAAGCAGGGTGGAGGGATCGACGCCCTAACAAAAATTTACTTTAGTTTACTATCATACTGATTAAAGTAAAAACTTAGATACTTTAGGAATTCTAAAAATTACTATTAAAATATATCCATCTGAAATTCATAGTAAAAATACTTTTACTATACTGAAAACTTTGATTTACTATAGTTAAATTACTATAGTTTACTATTGTAAACTAAAGTTAACTATAATACTTTTATGTTAGGGCGCACACATATCCTCACCTCCCCTTTAATTTTTCAGTAGATTACAATTGATATACATTGCAATCATTAGTATCTGCTGAACAACTGAATATCGACTGAGACTTCTTATAAACAAAAACAATTTTTACGTTGTCAAGTAAGCTCCTTGATCATGCCGATAAATATAGATCTGGAATTTGCAGAATTAGTTTTTAAATAAACAAATAGTTAAAGCTAAAACTTACCACAGGAAATTTTTCTCAAACAAGAACACGATTATACTGATACCTTATACAACAATATAAGTGGGTCTTCACTCCACATTCGAGTACGTATACATGTAGACTTAATACTTTGATATTAAATTACAGGATTTTATAGTAGAAAATGATTGCCCGCATAAATGTTTTAATAATTTCACAAACTAAGCAGAAGTCAATTAACAAAGATTGCATTGAAGTCTATGGGGATAGGATTTTTTTCAAATAAAATTCAAATGACATGAATATCAATAAATACTGTCGAGGAAATATGCATTGAAATACATGTATTAGAACTAGCTTGAAATGTAGGTCTGTTTTTCTCTATCCATAAACTTCAATCCAGTTAAACTGTTCGAACTTTTATCATAGTTGAATTTTTGCGTGAAAATCTACTTGTTCACATAGGAAAGAAAATCTTTGTGATGAGACTAATCTTGTCTTGAATGGGTTGTCTTTACAAGATCAATAATATTTTCCAATCGCTCTGTATTTCTATTTCAATCGGGATCGACATTCGGATCTCGAGTTGAAGAACATGGCAGCTAGAAATGTCACACGCTTCGTGTTACCTCGATTTGCGTCTTTCTTTCAGCGATTTAATGCCACAACTGTCCCACTGATATTGCGACGGAGAGCTCTTTATAAATCTGAACACTTTGGAATGTTTTCTACGTCTCCCAAACCATTTGCAAACGAAGCGTAAGTAGATCTCATCCTCGGATGATTACATAAGAATGTTTCTGACCGCTGAATTATTCAATTAGCAGATAAAAATTATTAAATAATAATAATGTGTTATTAAAACCTTTTGGATTATTATCAATTTTTTTGTCTCTTGAAAATTTGGGACAATAACACTGACAAATATTGAGGAACAGAAGTATTTATTTCGAATTTTCTCTAAAACTGTATATTTTCATTTTAAAAGATTTTATTGCACATTGAACAGAAAATAAATTTGTTGCTTCAGTCTCAGTCATTCAGTAACCGTCAACTTTTATTCTTATCTGAATTTATTTGAGGTCTTCAAGCAGACACTGCCTCAGTAACTTAAAATGAATTATCTTAGTCACAGGACAGCCTCTTATCACATTAAGAAAGAACATTCAACAATGTTCATTCAAAATATGTGTAGTTGTTCATTGTATATCTCTAGATTAAAACTCTCTGCCCTACCCTGAAGAATAGATTCTAAAAATTTCTCATGAAACAGAGTATTTAAGAATACCATTGTAATGAAACTGACATCAGTCTTCACGAAAACTCACTGGTCCGAAGACCGAGGCCAGTAAATTTTGATGTCGGGTCAGTGAAAATCAAAATTCAAGGAGTCCGATGGGCTTGTTGATTATAAAAATCATATACAGTCAAAATTTATATCAACTGACTTACTTGCGTAATTTCATTAATATATAAAATAAAAAGAACAAGGACTTGTTGTTGAATCGTATTATTATTATAACCCTATTATAACATGGATTTATTACGTAACAACTGGAACTAGCTATTTACTATTAACTAGTACGTAAAATGTGCAAAGTTCCAATGACAAAGGGCGAAAAATGGCGTCATTACAAAAGTTGAAGTATGTAAACATGTATAAATTTACAGTTATGAAAATGTATTTATTTTATTTTTTAAGTAAGGGGCCAGTAAAAATTTTGGTGGGCTAGTAAATTCTGAAAGTTCACTGGTCCGACCGGCCAGTTAGTTTGAAAAGTTTTCGTGAAGTCTGTGACATCCTCTGATAACCTAGGACAACTACACTTTACCTAGCAGTACTGATAAAGCGCTGATTAGCCATTCAATATCCTTTTATTAACTGAGGCATTTGGAAGGTGATGACATTCCCATGTAGTTTTCGGTTACTTACAAGTACAATTAATTTTATAGTCGGGCAAAAATAGTACATTTCTTTGCTCCAAATTCCAATATCAGTTGGACCAAAAAAAGTGTTTATGATTGTATATTCACAATGAAAATTTAATTAACTTTTCAGATTGCAGCTGATGCTGAATGTGTCCAAATTATCACTGAACATGCTGAAAGTTTAAGAATATAATGACATCTATAATTTCTTGTAATTTAGTAGCGTGACAATAACCTTCGTAGATCGGGATGGGGATAAAATTGTAGCCAAAACTAAACCCGGTACATCCTTTCTGGATGTTGCAATTGACTGTGATGTGGAACTGGAAGGTATATCCATGTTTGTTATTGGGGAATGTCAGCTGAAATCATTTGGTTTGGTGTTACTTTGATAAAGTTACAGTTTATTCCCCCTCCTTGCTTTACCTGAGAAATAAAAAAAATGTATTTGAAATAAGTACAATTTTTATTGGGGAAACAATAAGAAAATGTTTTGCTTTTTGTTTTACTACAAAGCATGAGTCTCCTTGTGTGGATTGTTATTACCAAAAATGTATCTTAATTATTTTAAAAGCCAGTCTGTGATTGAAGAAAACAAACTTAGATATCATGGACTTGTGGGATTGTTGATTTACTTAAAGATATGAAAGAGTTTGAGATAGGAAATGCCAGACTCAGATAATATTTAAGCATTTGTAATATGATTGATTTTCTTCATTGGCTTCAATTCATAAATGTTATCCAATGAGTATATTTGTGAGCATTACTACCAGGGATGGGGTAATTGAAGAAAGTAATTGTAATTGAGTGTAATTAATTACATTTTTCAAAGTAATTGGAAGTAATTTGTAATTGAGCCTGCTTTCAATTACAAGTAATTGAATGTATTTAAATACATTTTTAAAAAAAGCATGTATTTTCAATTACTTTTCAATTACATTTCAATTACTTTTTTTCAAGCTAAAAGTTAAGTAAAGTTTCTTTTTATGATGCATGAGCTTGTGTTTATGCAATAATTAAATTCTCATATTGTTTAAGTTGTTTGGGACCCATTTGTTTATACAGCATGACAAGCTGCCCATGGCAATAGGTAAAGGACTAAGTCTAATTTTGTTCAGGTGTAAACCACCCCTCTCACACCCAGGAACAATCATACTGAATAATAGTTTACATTAAAGAATATCTTATTTAGTACCAAAAATGAATCAAGGGAACTAGCTACCGGTAGATGAATTTAAAAATCTTAAGATCTGAAAAATGTTGTTTAAGTTAAAGTGATACTGTGTTTGAAAATTTAATGATGATTAAAATGAAGTCAAAACTGTAGAAACACTAATTTCAGTACTTAATGCATGTATATACTTCACAGTAAATGTTTTTCAAGATTTTTTGAAATAAAACTGAAGTAATTGAAATGTATTTAATTACATTTGTCAAAGTAATTGAAAGTAATTAATTACATTTGAAAAAATCAATGTAATTGTAATTGTAAGTAATTGATAAAATTATCAATGTATTTGAAAGTATTTAATTACATTTCAAAGTAATTGACCCCAACCCTGATTACTACATGACATCACATTTGTTTATATATATCAGTAAAATATAAATATTAAGCTAAACAATGACAGTTGTCACAATGGCCGGTGTTTGTTTTGTACTTATGGTAATGAGGCACACAAAAAATGTAACAATTGTAGGATTTATTTTTAAAATTGTATTTACATCATATATGTAACTTTCAAAGATTGATTGGTACCAATTATTAATCATGCATACGATCTGTGAAACTGCAGAAGATTGTTATTTTAAAAAATCAAAGCTATTTCTGATCTAAGGTCTTGACATTTTATTGTATTGAATATAGCAGAATCTTTAATTTAACTATTCTGAGAGCTTTTTATTAATCTGCCAATTTTATTACAGTGTCACAGTCCACTTTATAATGCCTGACGGCAGCAGGGTGTCAGCAAATTCCAAAGTGGGCGAGAATCTACTGGACATCATAGTAGACAATGATATAGATATCGATGGATTCGGTTAGTTTATAACCCTGTCTTCTGTTTGAAGACTTACATGTATTTACAAAGCATGATGTCTTTTTGAAAAAAGAAAGTGGCACATTTACTCATTTCTTTTATATTATCATCATTATGGTACCTGGTAATATTTTATCATTATTTAAGTTGGTTGTGTTTGCTTCGTATAAGTCTAATTACAAAGATAATGACATGTGTGCAATATTTTTATTTTCTACTAATTTTTTGTCTCTCAAAAAGATAGTGACTTCAGCTGACATTTTCCCAATCAATAATTCTTATAATATGCTGTGATTAGTTTTTAAATCCTCTGTATGACTGAAATCTCAGTAAATAACATCTGTGGTATTGATTGGTGGCAGGTGCTTGTGAAGGGACCCTAGCCTGCTCCACGTGCCATCTCATCTTTTCTAAAGAGGATTACGATCGGATTCCAGACAAACCCACAGACGAAGAATTAGACATGTTGGACCTCGCATACGGCCTTACTGATACGTGAGTATTTAATTAGTCGGAGGCCAGTAAAGAAGAAAATTAATCACAAATTATTTGTAGCCTTGAACTTTCCAAACGTTATAATTTGTCATGTTATAAATATGCAAATGGTTTATCAATTTGTTTAATATTTATACCAAGTTTCTCTCTCTTACACTCTCAGAACTGAAACAAAATGGATACAATAAAACTTGTTCAGTTATCTTGGATCCCTAGCTATATAAAATTGATGAATTTTTTTATACTGGTATAACGAATAACTGATATAGCGAAGTAATTTCATAGGTCCCAGCGACTTCGTTGTAACCAAATTTTACTGTTAACTTAATATCTGTTTATTTAATTCATCAGAAAGAGTAATGGAACTTTGATTGGACTTGTGGTCTTGGATTATTCATAATAATATATTAGTTCACATAAGTTATTAAATCTGGAAAAATATGTACTTTTAATACTTGTTTTGCTAAAGCAAAAGGTCCATAAGAGTATGATAGTAGGTATTATGTATATTTATAGAAATTCAACAAAGGCATTGCAAAGATTATGATGAATTTTCTTTGACTTCTTACAGATCTAGGTTAGGTTGTCAAGTGATTGTGACAAAAGATATGGATGGATTGGAGGTCAAGGTCCCTGCTGGTGTGGCGGATGCCAGAGATCCATCATGACCTTAGCTGACCTGTAGGACATTAAAAAAAATCATAGAAAAGACAATACGAGTATTTAAACCAGATTCAACTTAACATCACTTTGTATAATCTTAATACAGACTTGTATGTGAAATTCACTCTCATTGGTGAATTTGTTCATCAATCCGTAGATGACCAAATATATCATTTTTGATGCTCAAATTTTTAGTACACATTTAGCACACATTTGAAAGTGAATGAATCATGCACAATGAATGTATTTTAAAATAAAAAAAAATGGTGTCATGGACTCAAGGCTACCTGACATGTGAAAAATTTGAATATTGTTGTTAATCTATATTAATGCCATGTGTGATATTTCATGTTTATATTAAATGTGACTAAATACATGTAAATAATTAGTATGATTAAAAATTCATTGTAATACAAATGTAAACCATATAAACGTGAGTAAAACAAAATTTTATTTTAATCATATGTTTTCTTACTAGCTAATGTGTTAAAGGCAGGTAAATAAACAATTAACGCTGCTAACCAATTTTGGTTAATTGCACATGAATAAGAATGCAAAAAGAAATTTAGAATTGTTTAACAGTTTTACACTGGATTTGTTTTTATTTATACATGTACCATAGGTTTCATATTCATCAATATTCGATATGAGAGATTATATGGCAAAAGGCTAGTTGCTACTACCATAGACATAAAGCAAAGAATGGTGAATCTTGGATTCCTACTGAAGTGCAGGGAAAGAGCAGATATGAGCATTTTAGCTCACTGAGCTGAAAGCTTAAGGCTTTTCTTATCATCTGATGTCTGGAGTTCTTTCATCCATGAAGGATATGGAGATAACGAACAGTATTCAATATCAAAGTCCATAAAACAATACAAATTAGGAGCAGAGCAAACACGGACCTCCAAAACATCACAGGTGGGATCAGGTGCCATGGAGGAGAGGAGTGAGCATCCCTTGCCGACCGATCACACCCGCTGTGTGCCTTTTCTCATGATCAGGAAATAACTGAAGAATCTGTCAATTCGGTGTCAGCATTTGACTCGATGATAAATTGTATTTGCTGATGAGGTCATTGTATCGACCATAGAACTTATGAAATGAGGACTTTAAAGGAGGCTGCTGATATTCTTGTTTCATCAACTTGTTTGTCAATAGTTTACCTCGTTTTAAAAATTGTTCAAACGTAGAGCATGCTCTTGCATATCGAATCAACTGATATCAGTAAAAGTCAGTCATCACATTTATCATAGAGATTGGTCGTTAGATTACCATTAACGTCTTTTTCAACTTGAAATTCCAAATACGAAACAGATGTATCAGATATGTGCTATGTATTTTTTATCTCAAGCTCCCCGGGCTATATCGTATCGTATTACATAGTATGTTAATACATATTTTTATATAGAATACTAGTAGGGAAGGGAAGTTGAAGTCATCACATCTATAATACAAATTCTTAAGGGTTTTTTTTGTGCAAGTGAGTTATTTCCTGTCTTTATTATATGGCTCAATAAAGATTCGAAGTAGCTGAAAATCTCTGTTTTCAAACTTTTTCGAGCTATTACCATGGTACTTGATACGATGGCCACCTTTCTTGGAATACCGGTATTTTCTTTATGACATTCTAATTTTTGCCTTTTTCCGATTTCCATTCTCACTTTGAAATTCGTTTTTAGCTCACCTGAGCCGAAGGCTCAAGTGAGCTTTTCTGATCACATTTTGTCCGTCGTCCGTCTGTCCGTCTGTCCGTCCGTCCGTCTGTAAACTTTTCACATTTTCGACTTCTTCTCAAGAACCACTGGGCCAATTTTGACCAAACTTGGTACAAAGCATCCTTGGGTGAAGGGGAATTTAAATTGTTAAAATGAAGGGACATATCCCCTCGCAAGGGGAGATAATCAAGGAAAGACAAAAATAGGGTTGGGTCATTAAAAAATCTTCTTCTCAAGAACCACTGGGCCAGTAAAGTTGAAACTGATGTGGAAGCATCCTGGGGTAGTGTAGATTCTAAATTGTTCAAATCATGACCCCAGGGGGTAGGGCGGGGCCACAATGGGGAATCAATGTTTTACATAGAAATATATAGGGAATATCTTTGAAAATCTTCTTCTCAAGAACCATTGGGCCAGAAAAGCTGAAACTTATGTGGAAGCATCCTGGGGTAGTGTAGATTCCAAATTGTTCAAATCATGACCCCAGGGGGTAGGGCGGGGCCACAATGGGGAATCAATGTTTTACATAGAAATATATAGGGAAAATCTTTGAAAATCTTCTTCTCAAGAACAATTGGGCCAGAAAAGCTGAAACTTATGTGGAAGCATCCTGGGGTAGTGTAGATTCTAAATTGTTTAAATCATGACCCCAGGGGGTAGGGCGGGGCCACAATGGGGAATCAAAGTTTTACATAGAAATATATAGGGAAAATCTTTGAAAATCTTCTTCTCAAGAACCACTGGGCCAGAAAAGCTGAAACTTATGTGGAAGCATCCTGGGGTAGTGTAGATTCTAAATTGTTCAAATCATGACCCCAGGGGGTAGGGCGGGGCCACAATGGGGAATCAATGTTTTACATAGAAATATATAGGGAAAATCTTTGAAAATCTTCTTCTCAAGAACCACTGGACCAGAAAAGCTGAATTTTATGTGGAAGCATCCTGGGGTAGTGTAGATTCTAAATTGTACAAATCATGACCCCTGGGAGTTGGGAGGGGCCACAATAGGGAATCAATGTTTTACGTAGAAATATGTAGGAAAAATCTTTAAAAATCTTCTTCTCAAGAACCACTGGGCCAGAAAAGCTGAAACTTATGTGGAAGCATCCTGGGGTAGTGTAGATTTTAAATTGTTCAAATCATGACCCCAGGGGGGTAGGGCAGGGCCACAATGGGGAATCAATGTTTTACATAGAAATATATAGGGAAAATCTTTGAAAATCTTCTTCTCAAGAACCACTGGGCCAGAAAAGCTGAAACTTATGTGGAAGCATCCTGGGGTAGTGTAGATTCTAAATTGTTCAAATCATGACCCCAGGGGGTAGGGTGGGGCCACAATGGGGAATCAATGTTTTACATAGAAATATATATAGAAAAAATCTGAAAATCAAAGCTGTAACTTATTTGGAAGCATACTGGGGTAATGTTGATTTCAATTTGTTTTAATTATGATAAGTGGGGTAGGTTGGGGTCACAATATGTATTACAAGGGGGAAATCTGGTAAAGAACAGAATGGCCAAAGCTTCTCAGGTGAGCGATGTGGCCCATGGGCCTCTTGTTTTTCCTTCTAATAAAATTAATTTAATTACCGAAAACCTCTCATTCATTTGACAGATCGAAGATATATTGTAAACCCTTTTTTTTTTAATGTAGTTTTCATACTCTTTTAAAGAATATGAAAACTACATTTTAAAAAATTATTTATAAAGCTTTTAAACAGCAATTTGAGGATTTTAATCAAATTTCACACACAAAAATCGATGCATACAATTGAAATTTAAAGGTCAATATTATAGATTTATAGACAAGACTGTACAAAAATAAAACCAGAAATCTTAAAAACAGACTAGATACCCATGTACTAGGGGCCTACAAGGGTCTTCTGTGTAAATTTATCAGATCAGTGTATTAGTAATAGGCTACATTATTATTTGAAGTAAGTGGATTTTAAATTACACTATATATATATTTCAATGAAAAGTTGAAAACCCAATATTTTTATAAAACCTCATTGAAATATGTTATTCTCTTTGTAACCAGTGTAAGTAATTAGATGTTTCAGTTTCAATGTTTTAATTATTTCTATTATGTGTGTTTACGTTTGTGTTGTCATGTGTGAATGTCCACGTGTGAGTGTTTATGTTTGTTAGGTGTGACGTATTTGACCATTTCCGGTTTGACTAGTTTCTTTGTATTAATAACTTTTTACTAACTTTCCCGCGGATAACAATATTCACGCACACTCGGCGCTACACCCTTGACGGGAATAGTCATATCTATCTACAGTAGCTGATTTATATAGTGTGCCTGGTAAATATATTTATCACTTATCTATTTCTTATTATATTTGTAATTTAAAAGTAAAGTCAGTAAGGATTTGTAAATGTTTATTAATTAAAATGACTTTATTTCAGGTTTTTCTTATATTATTACCGTCAATAAATATACTAGTCAAACTACCATTGACTTGATTGTGTCTTGAAGTAATAATGAACCCAAGTATTACCGACATGGTCTACAAATGGCGCCCACGATAATTGGAAAACCAGGTATACAAGACTGAGGATCCATAGAAAAATCCCCGGGGAGCGGATTGGCGAGAAGGCGGACTTAGAGAAGTCGCTGACCTTTTCATTTCCATTCCAGTGAATTATAGGCCTATGCTACACTCGACGGTATAACCTGTGTGTCTATGTGTGTATTGAATTCATATGGACCTATTCTAAATCAGCTGTGAGTGTTGTGTTGTGTTTGGAGCTGGTCGAACGTTATTGTAAAGGTGTGTTCGTAACAGTGTGAATTCACAGGCGGATCCCGAGAGGCGAATCCGATAACTTCCGGAACCGTGACGTCACAGTTATGCGCGCAGCGAACCAATGACCGACCAAAATGGAGTCTTGTGGACACTGGACAACGTGATTCGTGAATTAGTCTGCGGAGCAAAGGTACTGGAAACAATTGTGCATACAAATGGTCATTTTCTTATGTTATTCTATGTGCATTTATGTCATATTTGTTCGTGCAAGTGATTGTCTTCGTCTTACGTATTGTCTGTACTGAATACTGAGGACTAGTGTAAAAAGGGATTTCCCAAGGTCTATTTTTGTTTCTATTTATAGTAAACAAATCTGTTTGTAAACTTTTGGCTGTAGTAGTGTATTTTTTTTTCTTTTTCAGCATGTTCAGGTTGATAATTGTTTTTGCAAATTATTTTTGTAATTTCCGGTGGTGACGCATTTTAGGAAAATCGATGACATAAATTGAACAATGGAATCGAAGTACGACAAAGTTGCTTATCCTGAAAATGCCTACCTCCATTCAGACAGTGAACAAGAGGAATTCGGCACAGGGGTGTATCCCGGTGTATCTATTATCTCCAGGAAATACAAACACGAGGATACGATAAAGATCGCTTGTTTTAAAGTAAAGCGAAAGTTCAGCCGAATAGCTATAGCAGGCGTTATTCTAGCTCTTCTACTCTTGATAATAGCTATTGTCATAATCAGCACTTCTCAAAGAAAAGGATCAGAGGAAAAGGAAATGCTCCACAACTCCAACAATAAGGCTTACGGTAAATTTACACTTGACGCAAGTTTCACTTTCGTATCATGTACATTTTTTTTTGTCATGTATCACTTCATTTTGTGTAATCGCATTCTGTAATATTTTCATATAAGATTTGTTAATTCCATTGATTGGCACTTCTGAATGGAAAGGATCAGAGGACCACAAATTAGTCCCCAACTCCAACAAGAAGGCTTACGGTAAAGTTACACTTAACGCAAGTTCACTTTCGATAGATAGTTTTCGATTGACCCAAAGTTACCTCCCGTTGGTCGCCATATTGGAGGTCGACTCGATGAGTTTTCCTCTTTGTCTTACCAAGTTTAAGAAAATATAGCATAAATATTTGGTGAAAAATCTTTATTAAATAATTTTTTTTAAATAAAGGAAACATCCAAAAATTTATATACTTCAGAAAAATAATGATTTATAATTCAAAATAAAAAATATAAAAATTTTAAGTTGGTTGATTAAAGAAGGAATATGAGCATTTGGACCTCCAGTATGGTGGCCAACGGGAAATAACTCTCGCTAAATTCTGGCCAACCGAAAACTATCTATATACATTTTTTTGCTAAGGATGGCGTCATTTTATGTAATTGTTTTCTGTAATATTTACCAGGTTGGGACCAATCGCCCAAATGGGATATAATAGTCCGTTTGGGATATAATATCCCAAATGGGCTATAAATTTAAAGTGCAAAAATTGAAAATTTTTATTTTGGGCCAAACAAAAAAATAACTTTGTTTACTGTTACATGCTGAAATAAAATAGGGTCGGTAGGTAGGATTTTTTTTTTTTATTTTATTGATTTTTTTTATATACAAATTCACATGAATTGGTTGAATTACAAAACAGTTTTACCATTGTATGGTGCCTTACTTTTGTTTGGGCTTGTAATATGGGTGGTAGACAATATAATCTTTCTTGCCAACTGCCTTACAACTCAGGGGTGTGCAATAAAAAAAAATCAAGTACTAGCCCACAGGCTATAACAGCAAATTCCTAGTCCAAAGTTAAAAGTGACCAGTCCAAATACAGGGGCAAAAAAATTGTAAAAACTAATATTTTAAAAAGCTCATTGTTGAGAAAGTCAGGGTCCTAAGCCATTCCTTTTAAAGTTGAAGTTTAAAAATTGTGTGAAGAAATTATCTTTTCTTTTCTGAACATATTGCACTAGTCTAGCTTATCTAAAATGAAGCAAAAATCATTTTATTTTCATTTCAAACCATCAAATACAATTGATATATTAAAGTTTAACCACATAACACTTAGCTATCAGTTGATTGGGGGATCGTATATAAAATTGAAAGAGATATCTGCATGTATTTACCACTAACAGAGGAATGGAGGAAATTCGGATTAGGAAAAAACGATCGTTTTTTTTAAGTAAATAAGTCAGGTAGTACTGCAAAATGAATAAGGTTAAAGTGATTTAAGAACAGTAGGTGCATGCTGCCTGGAAAATTTTCATTAGTTGGAAATTAAATAGCAAAACAATGAGTGAAAATACCGTTTGTGTTTCTCATGTATTTATACATGCATAATTTTAATTGTATTTTTATTACCCCCAAAAAACGGTAGCACCGGGTGATTGGCGATGCTAGTTGCACACCCCTGCAACTGCCACACAATGGTAAGCAAATTGCAACGAACTCGTTGATGTAGAAATTGAACTCATGTTTCTGTACTTTCAATTTCGATTTCAAAGATGAATGTAAAAGTTAAACTGACCGGCCAGTAACTTCCGGATTTTTACGACGAAAAAAAGTTTGGGTCGGCGATTAAAATTAGGGTCGGTCGGGTAACCGTAAACAAACATATTTTTTTGTTACGCCTTGGCAATAAATATCATAAATCCGCATCAAAACACTAAAAAAGGAATAACTTTTGGTAAGCAAGTTTTTCTGCAACCCTACCATTTGTAAGATTGATCCCCAAGGAGTTAAAGAACTTCCGAGGGATCAATTTCCTAAACAATGGGCATACAGAAAAACTTGTCAACCAAAAGTTATTCCCTTTTAAGTGTCCTGATGCGGATTTATATTTATTTCCAAAATAAAAATTTTCAATTTTTGCACTTTAAATTTATAGCCTATTTGGGATATTAATTATATCCCAAACGGACTATTATATCCCATTTGGGCGATTGGTCCCAACCTGTTTACGTTGGTAAAGTTTTATTAGATGGGTCGTCTATTTAACTGTGCCTATGATAAACTAATCTGAGATTCCTCTGACTCTTACCCCAGCAGTGACATGTGCAGGGTAGTCAGAGCAGGGGCCATATTGAAAAGTGGGAATTTAGCGACACCAGCTGCTACGTCGTGTTGCGACTCTGCCTACCATTCACAACCTTATTACGCAGATCTAACTTCTGAGGTGCGTGAAAACCAGTTTGATTAAAACCAGCCCCCTTTTCCTATCACTCGTCAGGATGAAAGGAGAAGGGGGCTGGTTTTAATCAGACAGTGTGAAATCAGTAAAAGGATGATTTTTCTACAACTTTCGCCATTTGTGTGCTGGCGTTATGCGCAAATAAGTCGCAAGGTGAGGAGGCGACCTTTTTAAAGTGATGCTTCATTTGTCAGTGATAGGGCTGTTTAAATGGTGATACATGTAGCATCCTTTTTTAAATGATGAATAAGTTGTAGAAGAATCATCCCTTGATCCCATATCTTAGCTTTAGTATTTATATTTTTCTGTTCATTTTATTTAACATCAATTTAAATATATGAGTATAAGGACCCCATTGGAAATAAGCCATTGGCTTTCATGGGTTATCCTTGGTATACAAGTGTAAAATGAACTATATTCATTTCTTTCGATTTTCGATAATTTATTTTAATTCTTTTGTTTAGTGCCTAAAACTGTTATATTTTATATTGTCGAAAATTCTTTGTAACAATGCGTATGTAGTATACCAAATAAATATCATCTTTTACTGATTTCTTGCATGTCGGAAGTGTAGAGTGGCGACACCAGCTGTTGTCGCTGGATTCCCACTTTTCAAGATGGCCTCCACTTTGACTCTTCCCTGCACATGTCACATTATAAAAAGCAGGGGTAAGAGTCAGGAATCTTGGATTAATGATCAATGTTCAGATCATACTTAAGCGAGTTGTAACTTTTTTTTTAAAACTGCAGACTACACCTTGTCAGTATGAACAAAGCTATTTCAGTTCAGTTCAGATGTTGGGACAAGTGATATGCAGTGAATCATATCGCCATATGTTATCTAAAGAATTAATTTGTGACAATCACAAAATTGTAATGGGAACTACTGAACATTGCTGAGTAACATGATAGCATGACTTTGTCCATTGTGAAGTTAGATGTTTTATCTTAAATAAGGAAATAATTACATAATGTCATACATATATGCAGAAAAATATGTAAATTTGTGTAAAAGTTGTCAAATGCATTACAAGTTAGGTTTTTTGAGATGTAATTATCTATAGCACATATACATCATATACATGCATGAATATCTCACAATTTTTTAGGACTTATAGCATGTATTGTGCATGTTGATTAGTCTATAAGTTATCAAAATTCCAGGTCTTGGCCCAACACCTATTGTTTATTGATTAAAGTCAGGGTAACGTAATATGTACCGGGTAAAAGAACATAAGGTATTTAAAGAAGTCTCTATATACAAATTTTTTTGCCATATTTTGTCCCCTGCTTTCACTAAAAGTGTGTGTGTGTGGCGGGGGGGGGGGGGGGGGGGGGGGGGGGGGGTAATCCGATATTAATCTGTTTGTCTAGCTGGCTGTCTGTTATTCAATCTGTGTGTGACACCTTGGTTTCTAAATTAAAAAAAAATAAATAACACAACTCCTCATCGTTTAAGGAAGGGACCTATCAAAATTCAAGTCTAAAGGTCAAGGCCAGAAATATGTACTGCATGTATAATTTTAAGAAATTAAATAATTTTACTTTTTAGCTCACCTGAGCCGAAGGCTCAAGTGAGCTTTTCTGATCACATTTTGTCCGTCGTCCGTCCGTCTGTCCGTCCGTCTGTCCGTCTGTCTGTCTGTCCGTCTGTAAACTTTTCACATTTTCGACTTCTTGTCAAGAACCACTGGGCCAATTTTGACCAAACTTGGTACAAAGCATCCTTGGGTAAAGGGGAATTTAAATTGTTAAAATGAAGGGACATATTCCCTCGCAAGGGGAGATAATCAAGAAAAGACAAAAATAGGGTGGGGTCATTAAAAAATCTTCTTCTCAAGAACCACTGGGCCAGTAAAGCTGAAACTTATGTGGAAGCATCCTGGGGTAGTGTAGATTCTAAATTGTTCAAATCATGACCCCCGGGGGAAGGGCGGGGCCACAATGGGGAATCAAAGTTTTACATAGAAATATATAGGAAAAATCTTTGAAAATCTTCTTCTCAAGAACCACTGGGCCAGAAAAGCTGAAACTTATATGGAAGCATCCTGGTATAGTGTAGATTCTAAATTGTTCAAATCATGACCCCCGGGGGAAGGGCGGGGCCACAATGGGGAATCAAAGTTTTACATAGAAATATATAGGAAAAATCTTTGAAAATCTTCTTCTCAAGAACCACTGGGCCAGAAAAGCTGAAACTTATGTGGAAGCATCCTGGGGTAGTGTAGATTCTAAATTGTTCAAATCATGACCCCCGGGGAAAGGGCGTGGCCACAATGGGGAATCAAAGTTTTACATAGAAATATATAGGAAAAATCTTTGAAAATCTTCTTCTCAAGAACCACTGGGCCAGAAAAGCTGAAACTTATGTGGAAGCATCCTGGTATAGTGTAGATTCTAAATTGTTCAAATCATGACCCCCGGGGGAAAGGGCGGGGCCACAATGGGGAATCAAAGTTTTACATAGAAATATATAGGAAAAATCTTTGAAAATCTTCTTCTCAAGAACCACTGGGCCAGAAAAGCTGAAACTTATGTGGAAGCATCCTGGTATAATGTAGATTCTAAATTGTTCAAATCATGACCCCCGGGGGATGGGTGGGGCCACAATGGGGAATCAAAGTTTTATATAGAAATATATAGGAAAAATCTTTGAAAATCTTCTTCTCAAGAACCACTGGGCCAGAAAAGCTGAAACTTATGTGGAAGCATCCTGGTATAATGTAGATTCTAAATTGTTCAAATAATGACCCCCGGGGGATGGGTGGGGCCACAATGGGGAATCAAAGTTTTATATAGAAATATATAGGAAAAATCTTTGAAAATCTTTTTCTCAAGAACCACTGGGCCAGAAAAGCTGAAACTTATGTGGAAGCATCTTATATAATGTAGATTCTAAATTGTTCAAATCATGACCCCCGGGGGAAGGGCGGGGCCACAATGGGGTATCAAATTTTTACATAGAAATATATAGGAAAAATCTTTGAAAATCTTCTTCTCAAGAACCACTGGGCCAGAAAAGCTGAAACTTATGTGGAAGCATCCTGGTATAATGTAGATTCTAAATTCTTCAAATAATGACCCCTGGGGGATGGGTGGGGCCACAATGGGGAATCAAAGTTTTATATAGAAATATATAGGAAAAATCTTTGAAAATCTTCTTCTCTAGAACCACTGGGCCAGAAAAAGTGAAGCTTATGTGGAAGCATTCTGGGGTAGTGTAAATTCTAAATTGTAGGAATCATGACCCCCGGGGGAAGGGCGGGGCCATTATAGGGAATCAAAGTTTTACATAGAAATATATAGGAAAAATCTTTGAAAATCTTCTTCTCGGGAACCACTGGGCCAAAAAGCTGAAACATATGTGCCCATGGAAGGATCATGGGGTAGTGTAGATTTCAAAATGTCTAAATTATGATCAGTGGGGTAGGGTGGGGATGCATTATGTATAACAAGGGTGAAATCTGGTAAAGAACAGAATGGTCAAAGCTTCTCAGGTGAGCGATGTGGCCCATGGGCCTCTTGTTTAGTACTTGTAAGCTTTTGCAATGAAACTTTTGTTAATATTTCTTTTAACTTTAAACAGATTCTTTTAGACTTTAGGGCCAATACTTGAATAGCTGAAAGGTCACAGTTGACCTTTTTCCTTTCACCTTCTGCAAAATTATTACAGCTCCACCATCTGCTTTTTGAGTGGGGGACACATTATATTGATTTCTCTGAATTTGCTTGTCTTTCTTTAAGTTACTGTCCTCCACACACCTAAAGGTTATGCTCTCATATTATTGAGCATTACTTTTAACAAGCATATCAACCTTTAAAAACTGTCCAGGGATGAAAATGTAATTTATACTGATTTTTTAAAATAATTATTTCACAAGTTAGAAGAAATTTTTCCCAGAGTATTTTCATACCTAGCACAACAAACTTTGTCTTATGATCCTTTCGTATATTTTTAAGCTCACGGAATAACCATAAAAGCTTAATTTTATCGATCAACATATTTTTTACAGAAATTTATTTTATTTATAAAAAGTACATAAAACTCATTTTCTCTGAAATAGATTTCGAGAAAAATCAATAAGGACTCCTTTTGTGGAGAAGAAACATTAATGAATTAGATTACATCAAAAAATTGAATTAAAATTAAATGCACTGATGTAGAAAAAACATTTTCCAAATCTTTGGTATCAAAGTTCCTTTTTGGAGTTATCTTTCCTGTTGCCCGGGACTCAAAAACTTTTGGCAAGTCTCCATATACGTCACCATACTATATTTAGTAATTACTGGCCACTGAACTGGACAAATATAACAGAGGAAAACTAGAAACACACACTATTTTATCAATATTTATTAACAACAATGAGATAATGTATTATTGAAATGCACAAATTAGTGTGCCGAAATTTCAACTATCAAAACAGACTCGGTTGATTAGCCTGAAAGGATAAATAATCTAAACGTTTTTCGTCATATCCACCGGTACCTGTTGTTTAGTTACGAATTATTATGTAACATAATCCAAGACGTCTGTTGTTCTTTTATTTAACAAAAACCGCACATCCTTTTCTATCGGTCACTCCGTGACCATGCCATGTGTTCATTGTTTACAAACGGTGTTAGGTTAAATCGTTCTTACAGAAACTCGATTGAACCGGAAGTAAAAGTATTTTTTCTCTATATAGGTCACAAGTCACATGGTGTGGAGGACCCTTAAACAATATGTTAAATTAGATTGTAAATAACCAGGTAACCCTTAGGCTAGCTAATGCTCAATCTAATCAAAATTAGATGTTAGATTCGTGTAGCAAGTATGAGAGCGGATCTAACATCTAATTTTAATTAGATTGGCTAATGCTTTCCCTAGAACCTGTTCAGATCACAAAGTGCACTAATTATACAGTAAGAATAACTGGCCAGTTACACAAAAGTACATTTGAACCTTACTATCCTTTGGGCAAATCCAGCTATAATATCTGAAATATCATGAATATAGGCTGTCCAGTTGGACTGGAATTGACAGGCAATGAGTAGGAGTGTTGATTGAGCTCTGTGATTTTGTAGTAACTGTATTTATATATATTTACAATAGATCTATTTATGAATAGAATGTATATATTCAACAAATATTAGAAAATTTAATTATCTGTCAAATCAGACTTGTTTACTGGATCTGAATGTCAGTTCAGTATGACTGCTCCTAAACTTGATTGCAGATGGCATTTTGTGCACTAAGAATTGATTTTTTCTTTTCATTTAGTTTGCCTTATAGCAAAATTATGCTTTGAAAATCCTGTGTATTAGTGGGGATTCACAGACCTTGAAAAAAAATTGGAACAATAAAATCCTGAATTTCCTTTATAATGCTGTTTTGATGGTGAAAAGGGTAGACATAAATGCCATTTATTTTTAGCGGAATCTGTAAATTAGGGCAGCATTAAACAATGTGAAGTGCACTTATTGCTATGCTTTTTTTTCTGTTGCACAACTGTCTAAACTCTCTATGCATTTTAGAAAAATCAAATGGAAATATTCAAATTCAGAGAGAACACTAGTTGTTAGAAAGCTGGAAATTAAAGAAGGAAATCTGTTACAGTAGTGTCAGATAATATATTTTACATGTTGTTGAGTCTCAGATACATGTAAATAAATATTTATAAGGATGTGAGAGGGCAGTTCTATATAGTTCATTAACTAAATTGTCAGGAGTGTTATCTGTGTTATATTGTGTTAAAATGAATGGCTGATCAATCATCATCATGTGTGAAATTTTTCAACGACTTAGAATTCTCCCCATTTAGCATGTTCATTTGAACTTGTTGAATCAGTCACTTAAATAATTTAGGACAATCATTGTATAGAGAGCAGGGGACCCGTCATGCATAAAAGTATTGTTATTAGGCCATGGTCTTATTATGTATACATGTATATTCAGTAAACATGGTATTGAATAAATTGAAACCTTGATGAATGTGTATAGGAGAAAAAGGAAACATGCTGTGTCATGTAATAATTAAGCATACCCTTCGGCTCATAGATCTACAATTCACAACTAGAAGTTATAAATCAATGGAAGGACATGTATCTGCATACATTTCAGTATATCCCCCGCTTGAAAAGCGGGAGGGTATATAGTAATCGTTAATTCCGTCCGTCCATCTGTCCGTCCGTCCGTCTGTTATGCTTTGGGGTACCCATCTCTTATCCGCAACTCCTCTCATACCACTGAATGAAATTTGATGAAACTTTCACAGAATCTTTATTACATATTGCCATTGTGCACCTCCTATTTTACTTTTTGATCCGACACATAATTTCGGTTTCCCATAGCAAAACATGAACACTGCCATTTATATACATATGGGAGCTGGGGGTATCATTTAGTGAGCCCATTGCTCACAGTACCGCTAGTTTCTTTTTGTATTAATGCAAGATATTCAAAGTCAGTGGTCACAGGTAGGAGGCAGAATCAAGAATACATGGAAAAATTAGATTACAATATACTTACAATAGTATAGCCTATTTTTATAATCTAATACCTGACTTTATTTCTGCAGGCTTTAGGTTAATGAAGTTTTTTAGCCTATAGCTTAAGCATTCAAAGTTGATTGACTGAATTTTACATGTATTATATATGTATTTGAATTTTTTTTATTGCAGGGCTATTCTTTCAGCCTGATGTCGGTGATAATCCCCTGATCAACTTCAGTCCACAAAATAAATACTCTATGAATCCATACATACATAATCTAGATTTCCATATGCATGGTAAGATTATCTTATTCTGTGATGAAATTAAAATAACAATATGTATTTCACTGCTACTGTAATGTTTGACTTTGCTTTTTAGTGTATCATTTTAAAAAAAAAATTTAAAACTCGACATGTTAGTTTGCATTTAATTTAATTTATATCCATACCTTAATGAATCATGTTTAAGAATCCTAATAAATGATTATTGTTTAATTACAATAGTTACTCCTTTATAATCATAGATTACAATAGTTATTTTACTTATATTTACTGTAGATTGGCAAATAATCATGATGGTTTTAATTTCGCTATGTTCGCGATTCATCATTTTCCCGCAAAAAATAAACCCAGCATGAATGCTATCATTAGCTATTAAAAACGTTTAAATGATTGTAAGAAATTTTCTTACAGCGTGAAATTCAAACCATCGTGATTGGAACTTTTGGAGAAATCATGAAATTTTAACTCTGTGGAATTAAAACGATTTACAGTATTATGAAAATGATTACAGATTACAGTAGTTTTTAGCTCACCTCGACGAAGTCGAGATGAGCTTATGCTAAACCCCTGGCATTGGCGTTGGCGTCGGCGTCGGCGTCCCAGGTTAAAGTTTTAGGAGCAAGTCCATTCCCAAGTAACTATTAGCCCTATCTGAACCAAACTTGCATGGATGATGCATCTAGGGATGTACACTACGAGACTTGCTTCGCATGCTGGATCTGACCTACATTTTCTAGATGAGTGACCAGGTTAAAGTTTTTGAGCAGGTTAAAGTTTTTGGAGCAGGTCCATTCCCAAGGAATTATAAGCCCTACCCAGACCAAACTTGCATGGATGATGCATCTATGAATGTACACTACCAGACTTGCTTCGGATGCTTGATCTGACCTACATTTTCCAGATGAGTGACCAGGTTAAAGATTTTGGAGCAGGTCCGTTCCCAAGGAATTATAAGCCCTACCCAGACCAAACTTGCATGGATGATGCATCTATGAATGTACACTACCAGACTTGCTTCGGATGCTGTATCTGACCTACATTTTCCAGATGAGTGACCAGGTTAAAGTTTTTGGAGCAGGTCCATTCCTCAGGAACTATAAGCCCTATTTGAACCAAACTTGCATGGATGATGCATCTAGGGATGTACACTACCAGACTTGCTTCGGATGCTGGATCTGACCTACATTGTCTAGATGAGTGACCAGGTTAAAATTTTTGGAGCAGGTCCATTCCTCAGGAACTATAAGCCCTATTTGGACCAAACTTGCATGGATGATGCATCTAGGGATGGACACTATCAGACTTGCTTCGGATGCTGGATCTGAGCTACATTTTCATTCCCAAGTAACTGTGAACCCTTCCTGAAGCAAACTTGCATGGATGATGTATCTAGGGATGTACACTACCAGACTAGTTTTAGATGCTGGATCTTACCTACATTTTCATTCCCAAGTAACTATTAGCCCTATCTGAACCAAACTTGCATGGATGATGTATCTAGGGAGGGACACTACCAGACTTGCTTCGGATGCTGGATCTGACCTACATTTTCATTCCCAAGTAACCATAAGCCCTACCTGAACCAAACTTGCTTGGATGATGTATCTAGGGATGGACACTACCAGACTTGCTTCGGATGCTGGATCTGACCTACATTTTCATTCCCAAGTACAGTCCCTGAAACGTTCTACTTTCCCATCTGAACGGTGAACGAACGCTGAACGAACAGTGAACGAACGCTGAACGAACGCAGAGCGAACGGTGAGTGAACAATGTGCGAACGCTGAACGCAACTTGGTGAACGATGTGTGAACGGTGAACGGTGAGTGAACGCAGAATGGGAACGGAGCGCAATGTGAACGGTGAACGCAAGATGAACGATTTATTCGGAATGCCTTCGGTCTTTTCCTTGTATTGAAATTATTCTTTTATTCTATTATTCAAATGTCAAAAATAAATATAAATACACAATAGATAAACAAAAGAGAAATAAATAGATGAATAAATAAATAATAAAAAAAAATTCTACACATACGTATGTTTAAATCGATATTTTATTAACATGATTTTAATCGCCGTCAAACGTGTATTTGTTCCCGCGTGTAGTTAAAAATGAATTAATCTTAGATAGTAAATAATTATGCTCATTCTTTTAACTAATAAAATAATGTGGACTTTAGAAGATAAAACTACTACTGAGATAAACAATAGATAAATAAATAAATAAATAGATAAATAAATAAATAAATAAATAAATAAATAAATAAATAAAAAACATTTTTTTCTGCACATACCTATATGTTTAAATCGATATTTTAATGACATGATTTTAATCGCCGTCAAATGTGTATTTGTTACCGCGTATACTTAAAAAATAAATTAATCTACTTATATAGTATATAATTATGCTTATTCTTTACACTGATAAAATAATGTGGACTTCTGAAGATAAAACTGCTACTTATAGAATGAATTAATTACATTGTACGGGGTTAAAACAACCGTACATGTATTTCCGTGCCAAAGCGATTCTGAGTAAAATAACGGATTTTTTAAAAATTCACAATTATCTGTTGACATTGACTGTTATCGTACTGCATAAAAATTCTCGTTTTATTTAAATTCTACTGCAAAATATTCAATATTTATGTGCCATTTTATTCTTATATGACGATTATTTTAGCTAACTTCTTCATGTATCTGTAGACATTTCTCGGCCGTGATTATACTCGGTCAAGATGTTGGAAAGAGGCATTCAAATTATTTGTAATACATGTGTAGATTAATTTTTCAAAACTAAATAAGTAATGCGTTGTCATAGTTTTTATTGAACAGAGAAATGTTCAAGAGAGAGAGAGAGAGAGAGAGAGAGAGAGAGATAACCACCTCGATTCTCAGATATATGTTGTATCAAAAAAATTCTAATTATTTGTCCTAAATATTCCAAGCAATAAAGGTAATCTTTTTTTTTTTAGATTAACAAATCCATTTGACAGTAATCATTATACCCCCCGCTTGAAAAGCGGGAGGGTATATAGTAATCGTTAATTCCGTCCGTCTGTACGTCCGTCCGTCCGTCCGTCCGTCCGTCTGTTACGCTTTAGGGTACCCATCTCTTATCCGCAACTCCTCTTATACCACTGAGTGAAATTTAATGAAACTTTCACAGAATCTTTATTACATATTGCCATTGTGCACCTCCTATTTTACTTTTTGATCAGACACATATTTTGGGTTTCCCGGCCACGGCAAAACATGGACTTTGTCATCAGTTATAACGATATGGGAGGCGGGGGGTATCATTTAGTGAGCGCGTTGCTCACAGTACCTCTAGTTGGCTTTTATTTTCCATCATCAAGTTCACAAAGTTCACAGGAAGTCCGTGCTATATTTGTAGTAGCGTGCTTGTGCTGTCAATCAAAATAATTCGACACAGTGGAGGTGTGGAAATCGCGTTTCACCGAACATGCCGAAGGCAAGGAGTCACTTAGTATTCCAAGAAATTTTAATATTTTTCCCTATCGTTTCTAAATCTGATTTTTGCATTCCTGCAGAAAAAAAAATAATTCGAGTATATACTTGGAAGGATTAAGTTTTAAATTGAATGTGAAACATATTCCCTGCCAATTTAAAATACAGTGGACCCTCATTTATCCGGACGCTTTGGTTCCCAGTCAATTTGTCCAGATATATGAAGCATCCGGATATCTGAATCACCACTTTAATAAGACAAAATAACATTTAAAAATTTTGTTCCGTTGAAAGATCGTCCGGATACTGAAACATCCGGATATCTGGCGTCCGGATATCTGAGGGTCCACTGTACTACTGTCAGCACACGTTTATACTAAAATACTATTGTTTAATGACTGTTTGATGTTGGTTTTAAGACTGATTTTCTTGTGTTACAATAAAAAATAAATATCAATTAAAATATACTGAAAAAACTCGATAAGAATTTTATTTCAGGAGAAAAGGCACCGGGGGGGGGGGGGGGGGGGGGGGGGGGTCTTAATTATACTGAATAACAAAAAAGATATTTTTAAACATGTTTAGGTACGGAGAAGGAAGGAATGTTTCTTCTCTAATAAAAGACTATTTTAAACAGTTGGTCTTTTCTAGAATTTAAAACCACACCATCAACTTAATTAGCTCTACAGATATTTAATTAACTGAATATTTGCAGTACTGTTCATAATTCCCAAACCTACATGTAGTTTAAATACGTGTTACTGTAGAAATAATTTTTTTTATGTATTCTTGTCCTGTAAAAGACTTGGATGAATTATTATACATCTTTTAATAATTTGTCCTCTTTAAAATTACATCAAATTGATGCCGTGCTTGAAGCATTTGTACATTGCCCTTTTTTGAATTTAATATTTTAGCATCGTTCTACATACATGTAGGTACTTAATGTATTAATTATTTTCCAGGGAAAATTCATGAAATAAGTAATAGCTGAGTTATAATAATAGAAATATAAATATCATAGATAATTTTTGCAACGAAATAAATATTCTTTAAACACGATATCTAATTAAGTTATTTAATTAAAAAACATGTAAATCCTTACCATCAAAAAGATAAGTCCTTTCACTTCGGAGTTCCGAATGGCAATGAAGACTGAACGATAAGTGAACTGTGAACGCAAGGTGAACGCAAAATAAACGGAACGAAGAGCGAACGGTGAACGTTTTGTGAACGGTGAACGCGAGCGCACGGTGAACGGTGAACGCAATACTGTGAACGAAGAGTGAACGGTGAACGCACGCTGAACGAACGGTGAACGAACGCTGAACGAACGGTGAACGAACGGTGAGCGAACGGAAAAATGGGAAAGTAGAACGTTTCAGGGACTGTAACTATGAGCCCTTCCTGAATCAAACTTGCATGGATGATGCATCTAGGGATGGACACTACCAGACTTGCTTCGGATGCTGGATCTGACCTACATTTTCATTCCCAAGTAACTATGAGCCCTATTTGGACCAAACTTGCATAGATGATGTATC